AAAAGTACTCCAGAGTGTTGTTCAGCATGGGGGTGAGTAGAAAATGAAGGCTAATCATGTTTTGGGTGTACTATTCCTTTAAGTTTGATGGTGGCTGAGCATGGACAGCCTGCTCCACATCATCCCACAGATGTTCAATGATATTCAGGTGTGGGGATTAGGATGGCCATTCCAGAACATTGGAATTGTTCCTCTGCATGAATGCCTGAGTAGATTTGGACCAATGTCTTAATGAAATATTCATACCCGGCATAAATTCAACTTCCTAACTGATTCTGGAACATTATTCGCAATAATCTGCTAATATTGAGTGGAATCCATGCAGAATAAAAATAATTTTGTTGTCAGTAAGCATTATTATCTGGGTGGGCCCCATATGATATACAATACGTGATAAAGGTTCAGAATACGGAGACAGTTCCATCAATAGGCCAAGAAGATCATGCAATTCTCAGTAGTATATGATCGCACATCACACACGGAAAAATAGTGACTGCGCACCTTGAATGGAACCATTGGTGACAGCGCACCACCACATGTTACAGACATCCCAAGATCCCAAAGCTCATTTCAGGGAGATCAAACCTCTTTTTTTGTATCCATGGTCGCTAACACATTGTACATAACAGTTATGGTTTTAATCTACCCTCTGGATTACCCATCATTCCAAACCGTAGTGTAAAATAATAAAATACTCAAAAACATTGTTCTGTTAAGATCTTTATTGCGGTTTAAAACATATTTTGAGTGTATTTTTTTACCAACTTTCAAATTAACTATAGACAGTTATTAAGATAGTAATTAAAAGTACCTCTGTCTGCTTTGCTATTGGTGTCGTGTTTAAACGGCTCACCATCAAGCTGAAATCTTCCATGTGTTGCTGTATAAATACGGTGCGGTCAGTCACTTAAGCATCAGGTGGGTTTAAGAGGAATTTTTCGCACCATAAAATCTGCAAAGAGACGTCCTAGTCTACATTTGCATACGGGGCCAACCAGGTGTCAGTGACGGGGCCCCTTAAAAGTCGTGGGCCCCTAAACAACTGCAGTATCTGCTTACCGATATTTACACCATTGTATGTAAGGGTATGTGTACATACAACCCTATGTACGTGTTTATTTAGATTAATGTTTGGGTCATATGCATACCGTGTATTTAGATTTCTATTTCAGTGTTTGTACATATAGCTTGACATATTGAACAAGTTTTTTTTGTTTTTGTTTTATTCTGTTTGTTTTTTTGGGCTTCCGTAGAATAACATGCCACTGGTTGGCATAGCCACAGATACTTTCAATATGTGAATAAATCCCTGATCCATACTGTGTGTTTTGTAACTGTATAACTGAAAATCTTTACATAAAGTATTCGAAAAGGAAAAAAAGAAGAAGTGAAGACCATCTTTGTGTTTTTGTTAACTGATTCCCATCTCTGCTGCTTGTCCAGAGCGTTGGAGGAAAGTCGGCAGATGGAGGCAGAGAAGGCTCTGGTGTTAGCCAATCCCAGATCAGTGAGGTGGCACCAGGACCTGGCTCACAGGTTCACCAGGGGCCAGGTGGTGTCAGAGGACCTGTCCCCAAACGTTGTAGCTGTGTGCGGGGTTGTTCTGCCCAGGATGGCTCCCCGACACGTTGATCAGGTGTGAGATGCTGCCATGGAGAAAATGCTCTCCTGTGTTTATGGTTTGTTTTTCTTGATGTGGGTTTTTGCTTCCAGGTCGACACCAACCTGGTCCTGGTGGACTCCACCTGCCAGAACCTGAGGAGGCTGGCTTTGGCCGTGGCTTCCCACAAAGCCGTGCTCCTGGAAGGTCCGATCGGCTGCGGGAAAACCGCTCTGGTGGAGTTCATGGCGGCCGTAACCGGACACACCAAAGCTGCAGACATTCTGAAGGTCCAGCTGGGGGATCAGACCGACAGCAAGGTGAGAGAGAAGCGTCCAGCGTTTGTTTTTTCTCCTGGGCTGAAGCTCTGAGGTTGGAGAGAATCCGTTCACAGCACGCTGGAAGAGTAAGGTCTGGTTTCTGCAGATGTTGCTGGGGATGTACCGCTGCACCGACGTACCAGGGAAGTTTGTGTGGCAGCCAGGAACCCTGACACAGGCTGTTTCCAAAGGCCTCTGGATCCTGCTGGAAGACATTGACCATGCACCTCTGGACGTGGTGAGTTCACCGCCTGCTGAGGAAACCTGCTGTGGGTCACTGACATCCTCCCCTTCCAGTCACTGTTTAGTCAATTATTACCACTAATAGGTGAAGCTAAATATGCGTTGCAGATTTCTGTCCTGCTGCCTTTGATGGAGAACAGAAAGCTGATGATTCCAGGACGGGAAGACTGCATCGAAGTTGCTTCTGGATTCCAGTTTTTTGCAACCAGACGGTAAGAACTGACTGCAGCTCGTCTGGTCTGATCATTGTTCAGCTTTGATTTTTTTCATTTATTCTCATATTTACAAAAACTATGGTTTTCTGCAACATTTCTTTTTGTCGACTCTCATCTTTAAAGTTCCAAGGTGATTCTCTTCTGTGCATTTAATTCAATTCAGTTTATTTCTATAGCGCCAATTCACAACACATGTCATCCCAAGGCTCTTTCCAGTTCACCAGATCATCCAGTCAGATTGATTCAAAGTTTTCTATCTAAGGAAAACCAGTTGATTGCATCGACTCATTTAGTTGAAGCCAGCTCCCATGTCAGAGGATGAAGAGAGCACATCCAGCCAGTCACAGTCAGAGAAACAGGACTACACTGGAAAAACAGGCGATCTCCAACATCTAGAAACAAAGGTGTTGATGGCAGCAGCACAGCTGATATTTCTCTCCAGGATGGAGTCACAGCCAAACAGGAACAGACCAGATGAAGCTACTATGAGAAAAAGCAGAGAGAGCAGAACGTTAGAGATTGAACTAATAGATTCTGCAGAGTGGGAGAATAGAGATAGAATGATGAAATGGGGGTCTGCAGAGTGAGAGAATAGGGAAATAATGAAGAAAAGGGGTCCCTATGTCCTCCAGAAGTCTAAGCCTATGGCAGCATAACTATAGAGATATACTATATACCGGTACTAAAGAGAAGATTTATAAAATCATGCAGATGCTTGTCACTCAGCAATGGAGACATAAATCCAGCCTGGACCCTCATGCACCTGAAACCAGCACTGATTGTGATTCTTATTTGCAGGATGTACTATAGTAGTGGCAACTGGCACAAACCACAGAACTCCCATGCAGCTTTGCTGGACAAGTACTGGACCAAGCTGCAAATGGGGAACATGAGCCAAGCAGAGCTGAAGAAGGTGAGTTATATCCTGCAGCTGTGACTCCATCAGAGCCATCTGACCTCTGACCCCCTTCCTCCATTCCTCCGTCCACCTGCCCTTTCTAGGTCCTGGTCCACAGGTACCCCATGCTAGCAGCGGTGTCAGACCGTCTCCTGGATATCTACTGCCAGTTGACGGGTGACAGACACTCTGAGGTGGACCCCAGCAGCATGGAGGCCTCATCAGAGGGACAGCAGGAGCAGCCTGAGGACAAAAGCAGCTCATTGGAGGGGAGGGCTCTGTCAGTAAGGTGAGGGTGGTTCCATAGACCCCTGCTACACCCTGCATCCACCCAAACACCAGTCAAAGCTCACACTAAGACAAAGATTGTTGCTTTGGCAAAGCAGGAGAATTGGGATGATACGGGTCAGTTAACTGAGCTGCACTGCCAGTAGTGTAGTTGTTAAGAAAAAAAGAAAGGGGGCTGTGTTTTTTGGAAGCATACAAAGCCTAATTAATATAGTCTTTTAACAGGGATAATGGGTAACTTCCATGATAAAGATGACCAAATCTTTTTCAACATGACCATTGGAGAGCTGTATGACCTCGCACTTCAAATAATTGACTTAGACTTAGACTTCTTTATTTGTCATTTTGTATGCACAGGGTGCATACAGAACGAAATTGCGTTACATACAGCTTATGAACGTTGCATTGATATTTCAAATGGCACAAGTTATACAAAAATACAAAAAGTGCAGCAGTGGTCAAAGTGTGAACAGTGCAG